GAGTTGAAGTCCACAAGTCTTAAAGTTGCCAAGGTTGGACACCCTTGATTTAAAGGCTGTTAGCTATATGTATGTGTGTGGGAGAGAGAAAGAGAGAAAAAAGGGGGGAGTGAGGGAGAGAGAGAGGTCTCTCTCCCTCCCTCCCTCCCTCTCTCCCTCACATCAGGCAATGATGAACCACTTCTGAAATCTTGCCACAAAAACTGCAGACTAGTCCAGGTGGTTGTCAGGAGTCAAATACTCCCCCCCCACACACCAGCCACATGCACACACACACATACACACACAGACATATACTATGAAAGAATTAGTGAACTTCGTTCCTCTCTTCTTTACTCCTTTCATCTGGACTAGACAAGAGTCCTGGTTGCTTGGTCAACAGAAATTCACGAAGTTGATAAATTTAGGAACTAAAAGCCTTTTGAATAGCTTGTTCCCCATTTGAAATAATGAACCTCACTCCCTTCCTCTGCTGATTGAGGAACTCTCACTTCCCCTTCAAGGCCCCCCCCCCCCCCCCCCAGATGAAAGATAATGGCCTCTTAAAAGAGAGCTAGGAGACAGGCTCCAGTTAACAGAGACTTTGGCTCCCCTTCCTTGCCAGCTATTACAAGGCATTAAAATAACAATAAAGCAACTTTTCTTCATGGCAAGCCCTCCTCAGACACAGCGTGGAGTCTGCCTAAAAGGAATGTGCGCGCATACGGGAGGGAAAGAATCAGGAAGGTGGGAGAAAGTCTGCCCCGCGACTGGATTAAAAGGGCGCTGCAAACATAGCTGTTGTGTCAGGTTTTGAAAGCTTGTCAGCCGGCTAACCAAATGTCTTTGATATCCTTCAACAAGTTTCTCAGAAGGTTTCTGTGACAGCCTATAGTCGTAATTTTGGATGTGCCATATATAATCACAGTCTGCCTTTCTTCTAAACAATGCTACTGAACACCTGGAAATGCCTCCCTCGTAGATCGGATTTCAAGTCTAAATGCCAGTTGTAAAGAGGACTGCCACTTTTTCCCTGGGAAGGTTTCCTGGGCTTCTTGTAGTAGCTGTGAAAGGCAGATATTCAACTGGTGAGGCTGTAATCCAGCAGGGAAGTATAGTAATAGAAATGTCATGTGCTAAATATCTGATTGCCGCACATATCTATAAATGGAGCCATGATGTCAGGAATGCCACTGTTTTGCATCCCGGTGCGCCTCTCGACAATTGCAACTGTGGCTGTAGGTCGCCTTGTAGATGGGAAAGGGGAGAGGACAATGGTTTGCTTGAGCCCAGAGGATAGAAAATGGGGAAGGCAGAATTTCAGGTGTCTTATTCATAAGAGCAGAGGGTAATGGTGTGTATTTTTAGGGACTGCTAAGTGGATTGAAAGATTACAATGGAGGCCGTTGGTATGGATGAAATCGATAAAATGAACCAAGCCTTCAAATTTAGGTAGCAGTGGGCAAGGTGAGGAATGCAAAAACAGTCAGCCTCCAAGCCATATAGAACTGCTGCATTGGGAATCACGAAATGGAACTTTGCAATTTGAGCTGAGCTGTATAACAAGCCGAAAGAGAATTGGCTGTACAGGGTCGTGGGAAAATAGGGCCCATGACTAGGATAAATCAGCAGGAGAATTTTCCCATCATGCTGATGAAATGATGGGAAAAAAATGTCATTGGCAAGCTTATCCTTATATCATGCAACAACAGTAATTAGCAACCCCTATCCAGGTGTGATTTAGTCAAGCTGAAGCCAGTAAAAGTGCTCCAAGCTAGCATCTAATTTTAGGATTTGGGAGAAAACAGATAAAAGTTTTAGGTCATTTTTTTCAAAATATTGAAAAATTGAAAGAGTTCACAAACATTTAAGCATTACTATATATTCTACTTTTCAAGAATTCAAGGCAGCATGCATACCATTTCCCCCCCACAACAATCCTTTTTTGACGTAAGTTGAGCTAAGAGAAAGTGATTGGCCCAAAGTTATCCAATCAACTTCTGTTCTTGAGAGTTGATTATAATCCTCACCACTACCCCCACCATGTGCCAGTGCAATACCTTAAACATGCAGGCTCCCTAACTTATTGTTTTAAGAATGGGACTAAACTATTATTCTGCTAATATCACATCTCTGACTGGCTACACTAATGTCTTGGGTCTGAATTCTTTTCTACACTTTAATTTCTTTATTATGTATTTATCCCAATCAAAACACAACATATTTTTATTCTGAAAACTATCACAAAAGAATTGTTATGGGGGAACAGGAAATCCAACAAAGTAGAACCAAATTTCTTGAATTATATTACAGCATAATTTATGCAAAAAGCTTCAGTATTTTACTTGTTCGAGGGACAAAATTCTCCAAGCCACTTACTTGTTAGCCGGCTTGAAAGCTCTGCAGAAAGGGAGGTCATCCCACTAGCCCTTCCAGGTGAAATTGGTGTGGCTGGATGAACAGAAGAAGTTGCAATTGATCCCAGGTATTGATAAGATGGGTCATAAGGCCAGGGAGGAGATGGCTGAAGTTGCCTTGTATCTGAAATGGGAAAAATAGATGTGAAGAATAGTGAAATACATTTCTTAATCTAACATTAACCATAGAGCATCAATTCATGGTGCTTGGATGAATTCATGGTGCTTGCAAGGATGGTTGCAAAATGTATTATTCTGCCTGTCCTGTACAAATACTGTACAAAGGCAGGTAGATAAACTGCACAAAGCATCCATACAAAGTCTTTTTTATTGGTTCATCAGGCATCCTATCAAGTCACATTTATGACAAGGTTCTTCTTAATGTCCAATCCTTTGCATATCTGAATTGTGGTATAGGAAGATAATAAGGTCTCAACCCCATGATGATTGAAGCAGCCGCATGGCAATGGCTTCATGGAAGAGTGAGGGAGACCTCCCCCGACCCACCAAGGGTCAATTTAGTGACCAATCTGGATTACAGATGGGACCACATGACATGGACTACATTTCCCAGGATACCTTAACGACATTTACCATGATGCATTCCCTTAAGGGGACAGCTCACAAGTCCTAATTAACTATCCCAAATCCCATTAACTCTCAACTGTCTGGACAGCACGTGTATATCCAATGGACGTTGTGTTACTATATAATACAACAAGGCACTTCTTTTATAAATGTCACTTAGTATAGTATAAATACTTTAAATTCCATGAGTAATAGATCACAAAACACTAAAATCATATTGGCTGAATGGAACATAATAGCATTTGTTCTCTTTGTCAGAATAAGGCTTAGGGCCTCGGGATTATATAAACCTGCCTAATGGCTTGTATCAGCAGTAAAGACCCCTTCAAGGAGAGATGTCCATGGGGGTAAGGGGTAGGGAAAGATTAAGGCAGGGGTCCTCAAACTACAGCCCATGGGCCGGATATGGCCCACTGACACAATGCATCCAGCCCGCACAGTAGTGGGATTCAGCCCCACCCTTCATCCCGCCCCTCACCCCTCTCTTCCCAGCCACCCCTCGTGTGGCTGGCTTTTCCCAGCTGACAGGGGCCTGGGGAGGAAGTGCCTTGCTGACCGCCTGCAACGCCCCTCCTCCAGCCATTGGCTTTGTCTTCCAGCTGCACTTCTGCTCATTTCAACTGCGCTTCTGTTCACTGCACTGCGGCTGCCTGCAAGGTAAGGGTGAAGGGTGTGGGCTGGCGGATGGGCGGGGGAGGGCCAGCTGGTGGAGGGGTGATGCCGGGGGCACAGACACATGCTCCTGGGCCCGTGGGTGGGCAGGGGAGGCCGGCTGGCAGAGGGGTGATGCTGGCAATGTCAAACCTCAAATTATTAGTTTAGTTAAATAGTAAGGGCTTTAAAGCAGTAAATGAGTAAAGGTAATACAAGAACCCAACTATTTTCAATTTCTGAGACCAAAACAGAGTGAAGCCCGGTTCAAATCACCACTGTTTTTAGCCCTATTAAAAATCGGTCTTTACCCAAGATTGTGTGTCGTGCAGTCACCACTGACCTGCACTTTACTTTATATATTTAGAAAAGTATTCAATCCTATGAATCCAGAAAGCTGGGAACGATCTTTACAAATCACATAAGTGGAAACAGAACCTATTTGGACAGATATCAAACACTGGACTGTCTCTAGAAGTCTGGCTTGCAGAACATAAAATTGGAGTGACAGCTGGGACACTACTTTGTGTTTCCATTTGTTAGCACTTCTGTACCACTTGAAGAGATGAGACAATGACCGCCTTTTGAGAAAACCAAATCAAAGGGCCCTGACTTGGCTTTGTACTTAGCCTGTTGCATGCAATTGCAACTCCACAAAAAAATGGGTCTGCAAAGACATAAAGATTTAACTAATCTTTTTATCTAAAGTCCTTTGTGAGGAGGTGAAGTTCATAACTTCTAAAAATATCAAGTGAAGATCAGAATATGAGAAGTTAGAACAACTGTGAATGGCACCATATGAAAATGAGATGCTGTATCAGTTTTGTCTTTATGAACCTCACTAAAAATCACTAGATGCTAAAGACTTGGTTGATGATCCCAAATCAATCTGTGAAGTTTCAGAGAAGATTCTATTCTTAATTGCTCTCACATGTGCTCACCTATACGTTTCTTCCATTGCACTTTACCATTAATCTGTAATGATACACACATAATCTTTATAAATTTATATACTATACAACTTATTTTGAAAGTTTGGAGTAGAGAATTCTATTAGAATATTTGAAGGGTGAAAACTCAGTTAGATAAGTGTTAATATGCAAATTACATCAGAAAGTGCAGATCAGATCCTTCTGTAACAGAATTGACAAAGATTGAATTATTTAAGTACTCCTCAAATTCACCTTCCCATCATGAAAGTCTTGATACTTTTCAATTTTCTTTTTTCTCTTAGATTGCCTGTTGCTTTATTTTCCTTTTAACCTAGGTTATTTTTCTCCCAAAAATTTACTTGCCCCTACTTATTTTGTTTTCCCCTGATATTTTTTTTCAAACCATGCCTCTTATCTTTCCACAAACAGAGCAATTAGCCAATCTGTGCCACATTTTTTTCTGATTATCCAAGTCCTGAGTAATAGACAAGCAATTATGCCAACAATTGCTAAGCAGCCTCATAGCAACAGATGAGGAGACATCAGCCTTCTTCAGCCTGGCAATCTTCAGAGGTACTGGGACTGATGTGCCCCTGTGTATCTGTGTGTGTTATGTGTTTGTGTGCATGATCTCTATGTATGTATCTGTATGTGTGAGTGTGGAGAGAGGGGGGAGGGGAGAGAGAGAGAGGGAGAGAGAGAGGAGCTTCAGTGACAAAATTATTGACTCTAATTCCACCATCAGTGATTTCACTATTCTGCTGACTTCAATAAATGTAGGGCATGTTTCTCCCACAACTTTGCTGTTCTTCCCAAAACTTCATCCAGCACAGCTATAATAATAGGGAATTTAGGAGTTTTAGTTATAATACATGTGAAACCTACTGGGTTAAGGAAGCCACTTTACTGAATTATGCAGTTACAATCTGAAATAAAGATTTATATAGGTTCCAATAGCAAAATGAGGTTTCAGTATTTTTTAGACAGAGCTAAAAGGAGCAAAATAAAAAGGATCATCTTGATTATTCTATTATCAGTTTAGATCATTTGTAGCCTTCATATAGTGCCTTTTACTATAGCAACTATCCATTTCTGCATTTTGCAGTGTGCAAAAGTATATGTAAACAATTATTGCAACTGAACATTTCGGGGTGGGAACTAAACTACAATAATTCACAATGTGCTTAGTTAGACTTGTGTATTCATGTTGCATGTGTCCAGCTTCCTGTTAAGCTAACTATTAGATACAAAGCACAGTACTATTTACAGCCACAGAAATTTTGTGTTTGGTTTCTTAAACAATAACAACCCAACAACCATAATTAAACAGGATGTACATTGCATAATATTTAGTACTTTCATACAATAAGCTTTGATAATATATTCATATCTGTAAGAGAAAATATATGTATTAAAATGGGTGAATTAAATGCATATGATAAAAAAGAATATCTACTATTTGTCGCTTCTTAGAAATATAGGGATTTTAAAAAAGACATCGGTATATGCAGCAATATGGACCTTATAATTGATGGAAGTGTATCTTCCCCAAAAGATATTTTTTTATATACTGACCATTGGGTGGCAACAGAGAGCTTCTTGCACAGTCTTTTAATCACTGTGTAATGCTCAGTTTGATTCCTCAGATAATTAGTATGATTAAGTTATGGGGCAACTCCATACTGCCATAGATTATCTTAATTTATTCTACAATTTGATATTTTAGTTTCAAGAATACATAATGTGCCATACCAGACTCATCTGTAACACAAGAGTCCACCATTCTAAGGATGCAGAATATTTAGTGCAGAGGTGTCAAACGTGATTTTATTGAGGGCTGCATCAGGGTTGTGTTTGACCTCGGAGGGCCAGGATGGCATGGTCAGCTCGACATCACACGTGTTGGGAGCCCCTGTGGGGGCCCGAGCACTCTGCCGGCAAAAACAGGCTCCCAGGGTCCATTTTCAGCTTGTGACAGCCTCCTGTAATCATCTACCAGTGAAAATGGAGCTTGGGAGGGCCATATGTGGCCCTACCAAACTCCGTTTTTGCTGGCAGAGGCACTGCGGGCTGGTCCTTTGCTATTTCCAAGGTGGGCCTGTGGATCAGATCTAAACACGCCCCAGTCCGGATCTGGGCCCTGGGCCTTGAGTTTGACACCCCTGGCTTAATGTATAGGTGGCTGAGAATAGATTTAGATTTTGTAGTAATGCATTGTAGTAAATCACATCAAAGATTATTTAATTCTCAGTTAATATAAGTTAAAATATCTGTAGAATCTGAGAAATCTGTAGAAAATGAGTCTATGATATTGTCTAGAACAGGGGTCGCCAACCTTCTAGACCTCAGGGACCACCAAACTAATAATTTTAAATCCCAGGGACCACTAACCAGTTCGGTGGGCATGGCCTAATTTGTGGGTGTGGCTTGGTGGTCATGTGACTGGCTGGGCATGGCTTGTATGTAAATATTATAAATATTTATATAAATATTGAATTTTTTATAAAAAAGAGCCACTTATACCCAAAATCAGGCAAAACAGGCAGGCAGATTGAGTTGCTCACAGAATCATTTAGTGAACTATCTATCTGCCATCGGCTAGCTCAGTCTGTCACATAAAATTTGCTTGCTGTGAATTTGTATTGAATAATAGAACCTTCAGTCCTAAGGGAGGTTCGGCTGTGCCTAAAAGCAGAGCCGAAGATCTAAAGCAGTGGTTCCCAAAGTGGGCGGTACCGCCCCCTGGGGGGGTGGTGGGATGCCTTAGGGGGGCAGTAAGAAGCAAGGGGGCTGGCAGGGGGATGCTAAGACACGGCAGGGGGGCGTTTGAGGTGCCGGCCCCACAGGCTCACTGACTGCCAGCCACACAGCCCATTGACTGTTTCATCGCTTCGTAGCCAGCGCCTTGAATGCGGAACCCGCGCGCGGTGAGCCTTGCCAAGCCTGGGGGGGA